GGTAATGCTATGGTTCTTTCTAATATAGTTTAGGACAGTGATAGTTTAAAGGGAATAAACTGCAATTTGGAAACTGCTGAGTGATGATATATGCCAGGGTATTAGGATATGAATAGATAAAACTACACCTACTCCTAACTAGGAAAAAGGAAGCATCAAAATTCCTATATACCTATCACAAGACACTTTGGCATAAATGGACTTTCAACTTGTGTGGATAGGTATGTGTGTTCAGATAAGTATTCAAACATAAGCTGGGACATGGATTCCTGGGATGGGAGCTGGAACTATTTCCAAAAAACTCTTCAGAGATGTGAGAGGTCGGGTTGCTGAGGAGCATGCAGCATAGGAGGCTGGCCAGCTGTAAACCTTGGCTCCCAGGGTTGGTAAAAGCTCCAAGTGGACTTTTTGCTGCACCCAACATGGGGTTGTGTGTGTGCATGACATGTGGGATGAAAGGAAGAAGCAGTAGAGAGTGGAAAGAGTCCAAGTTTGCCAGCCTGTTGAACTACATTGCCATTAATTTGGTAACCTTGGATAGGTCATAACGTTTCCGCTTCTTGGTGTCCTAATATGACAAGAGAGATCCCAACAACTGCCCTATCTCCCTAACAGAGCTCTCATGCACCAACTAATTTGAGAGCACTGTGCAAATTGAAAGCAAGATACTAGGGGAAGGGGTGAGTTCTTCAAGAGGCTAGGTTTTCACAAGGCTAAGAAAACACCTGCAATGTGATGGATTTATACTAGCCCTTGCCGAGCAATAAATACATTTGGAGTTTTATGACTTCTATCCATTCAAAAGTATACATTTTCTAAAGAGGTAATGGGACCAGTCGTGTAAGTGCTCTACTTAGAATTAACAACATTAAAACAGATACCAGAGAAATGTTTAGAAAAAAATATATAGGTCAGTCCATTTAGACTTTTAAACTTCCTGCTCTGTTGACTTGAAAAGTTATTACATTTTTTCCACTTAAGTTCACAGATATATCTAACCACAATACACACCATTGAGATAATTAAGAGACAAGTCATAGACTAGAAAGAATATTGACAGCACATATATTTGTAAAGTACAGTCTCTATGATGTATTAAAGAACTACAAATCAACAATAAAAATATGAATAACAATGAAAAATAGGCAGAAGACCTGAACAGATACTTCACACACACAAAAAAGGTATATAATGCTTAATATCTTTAAGCTTTAGGGAAATGCAAATTAAAACCACAATAAGATATCATTTTCCACCAATTAGAATGACTAAAATTAAAAAAAAAAAAACCACCTAAGAACATGAAATATTGGTGACTTTGATGAGGATATGCAGTAATTGAATACTCTACACTACTGATCTCTATTTATAAAAGCCTAAGTGACCATTATGACTGAATGATAGGTTGACCAGTCACTATGATGCGCACTGACCACTAGGGGGCAGACCCTTAATGCAGGAGTTGCCCCCTAGTGGTCAGTGCACTCTCATAGCCAATCTCTCATGGCCAGCCAACCTCCCCTGGTCCCTCTCCCTGGCCGGCAAACCTCCCATGGTCCCTCTCCTTATCCAACAGGCCCCATCTGGCAGCCAGCCCAGCCTAGCCCTGATCAGGATTGGGCAAGATGGCCCCCAATAGGCCCTGATCACTGGCCAGGCCTCGGGACCCCACCTGTGTACAAATTTCATGCACTGGGCCTCTAGTAAGACCATAAAATGGTCCACCCACTTCAAAAAACCAACTGGCAGTTTCTTTCAAATTGAAAATACATCTACTTTATTACACTCTTAGATATTCATTCATAAAAAATGAAGCATATGACTTAAAAATACAGTTAAGCAAAATTCTGTCAACAATAAAATGAATATGATATCTGAGAAGAAACAAAACTGGTGGCAGAAACCAGAACAGTGATACCTGGGGGAGGGGAGAAGTAGTTAACTGGAAAAAGGCATTAATGAATCTTCTGGTGTAAAATGTTCTTTATCTTGTCTTGGGTAGTGACTTCATTGGTGTATACAATTGTTAAAACTCATTGAAAAGACTGACATCTAAGATCTGTTCATTTTGGTACATTAATTATACCTAAATTAATATATATATATGTACATTTAGGTATGTTAAAATTTTTATGTACAAGTCCTTTGGTTGATCTCTCCTCCTTTCCCTCACCCTCTCCTACTTTTCCTCTGTGTTTGACCGTCTCTTGGGAAGGTTTTGATATAGACATAAAACAAGAGTTTAATGTTCACAATGAAGATTCAAAATTTGAAAATGTGCACTCTGTTTATACTCTTGTTCCCAAAGGTTATATTGTATTTCTAGAGTGAGAAATTCCATTGTGACTCTCTGCTGACCTCAGAAACAGAGAGAAGCTTTCATTTGCAATCAGAAAGGCAGAGTGAACAAAACTTCCATCTGGCTTAAAAAGGAGTGTGTGTGTGTGTGTGTGTGTGTGTGTGTGTGTATAAAAATATTATAAGGAAATATACCAAAACGTTGACAATAAAGAACTGTCATTTGGTGATATCTCTGGTCAAGGCAAAATACCCTAAAAAATTAAGGTTGAAAAACTACACACACACACACATATACATACACACACACACACATACACACAATACACACACACAGTAGGTCCTTGGGTTACATTAGAGATCTGTTCCTACAGTGTGATGTAACGTGATTTTCGACATAAGTCGAAATCCACCTAGATAATCACCTATGTCACTCACATGGAGCACATACACAACAGTAATGAAGTGAAACAGTAAAAAACATTTTAAAATAAGATAACAATTCCTGAACTTTACTTGTGGAAAATAAATAATAAAAAACATAAAGCACATAACAATTGGGAATAAATAAGTAAATTTATTTTTTTTAATAAATAAATGGGAGAGAGTGACATAACCACAAAACGACATACATCAAGACCAACATAACCCAAGGACTGTCTGTAAAAGCCTAAGCAACTGTCACTAACAAAGGACCAGAACTACAGGTCGACCAATTGCTATGACATGCAATGACCACCAGGGAGCAGACACTCAACACTGCCCCTGGTTGTCAGTGCACTCCCACAGCCAACCTCCCATGGCTGGCCAGCGGCGTTGGCATCCTTTCCTTCCACGCCCAGTCCAGCCACTGTTGCCTTCTCTCCTGACTCTACTGGGGCCTTAGGGCCCCAAGCTGGGACAGGGAACTGGGGGTGGGTGGCTGTGAATGCGACCTCTTTCCTAGGGGGGCCGAGGGCCGGCTCCCTCCTTGGGGTTGGTGGCCAACCTGCCGCACCCTGTTCCTCCCCACTTGCCAGAAGGCCCTGATCAGCCCAGGATCTCCCTCCCCTTCTACCTCTCCCCCTGCCGGCAGGGCCCGATTGCCCCAGCCCTGGTGCACAAATTCATGCACAGGTGGGGTCTCTAGTGGTATATAGGCTCAAAGGCCTAAATGTAAGAGCTAAAACTATAACTCTTAGAAGAAAACAGAGGTATAAATCATCATGACCTTAGACTAGGCAATGATTTCTTAAATATATAACATCAAAAGCTCAAATAACAAAAGAAAATATAAATTGTACTTCCTTAAAATCAAAGACCAATTCTTCAAAGGACACAGTCAAGAAAGTACAAAAATATTTGGGGGGAAAAAATCTGTTCTGAGACTCTATATATAAAAAGAAATCTTATAACTCAATAATAAAAGACAACCCAATTAAAAATGGACAAAGAGCCCTATCCGGTTTGGCTAAGTGGTCAGAGCATTGGCCCAAGAACTGAAGGGTCTTGGGTTTAATTCCAATCAAGGGCATGCATTTCAGTTGCAGGCTCGATCCCTGGTCTAGATTGGTGCAGATGTGAGAGGCAAGCAATTGATATGTTTCTCTCACATAAATGTTTCTCTCTGTCTCTCCCCTTCCCTTCCACTCTCTCTAAAAATCAATGGAGAAAAAAAAAAAAAATTCTCAGATGAGGATTAACAACAACAAAAAATTGGGAAAAAAATTCTACATACATTTTTCCAAAGAAAATAGACAAAAGCAGATAGATAAATGCCATATGCATGAAAAGATGTTAAACATGGGCATGCATGCAGGTGCACATACACTAAGCCACCTCTTCCACAAGAACTTTGGTTGCAGAGAGGTGAGGACCCACATATGTGCCAGGCTGATAAAACTCATCAAGGAGAATCCAGAGCAGCCTCTCTATGACCCTCAGGGCATGTTCTCTGAATTAAAAACTATAAAGGTCAGTGACCTCATCATCTCGGGTTCCACAGGCAGCTGAGGAGGGTTTAGCCAAGATTTTCAGCTAATTCAATTGAAAGTTATTAAGGGTTTTGGGGACAAAATGGACTAAGTGTGTCTTAAAAAAATCACATAATGTATTACCAAATGTAAAATGAACACCACAAAATTAGTTTAGCTGCATTCTTAGATTTGAGAATTGGTCTAAATCCAATGTCACACTCCCACTTTAGAAACCTTTGTGCACTCTCTAAGTAAATATAATCTGAACCTCTGTGTTCAGAACTGTTCACAACCTCAACATAGTTATGGTTGTTTGCTGTATCCTCTGGCCCCTAAAGAAGAACAATTATAAGTATACCACAGTGGCTTATTCAGTCCTACACCTAAAATATAATGGCCAAATTAATCCATCATCTCATACTTACAGTAACAGTCAATATAAATGTATGGTAACTCTCTCCACTACTACTATTTACTGTGATATTTAAGAAGAATTAGAACTTCAAAAAATGTGAAAGGTAATGTTTCAGGAGCTTTTAAGAGACTGAGCTGACAAAACACTACCTGTTTTCTGCACTTAAAACCAGTTAGACTATGCATTGAAATTTAAAAGTCATCCCATATGATCACTGAGAAAATCTACTTAGAATCCCTTGAGTTCAGAGGGAATGTCAGATATTATATCTAATGTGCAAGAAAGTTAAAGGAACATATTTGCCATGAAAAATGTCTAGTATTAATACATACACAACCTCCAGCAAGGATTTCTGCAAAAAGTGGAATGGAACCATCTCTTTTGGTGAATTTGTCCCGAACAAAATCATTAACCTAATTAGAAAGAGAACATCAGTTAACCATAATTTCCTCTACTAATATGTTATTGGTTTTACAAATCAGCAAAATATTTGTCTGATAAGATGAAAAATTATCAAATGTCTACATATAAGTTTAAAATTTTACAAATGCCTTGATAGTGTGTCAGTCTCAGCAGTATCAGTTTACATTTTGGCTTAAGGATAATTTAAACAGACAACAATAAATTTAATGGGGAAAAAACTTACGGTCAGTTTAATAGCCTTTTCTGGAGCAACCCCTATAAGTTGTGGTATCAGGCCTGGGTAAATGGAAAGAATTGTTAGCAATATATATGTAGTAGACATGAATAAACAAGCCCCAAGAGAAATGGTTTTCTCCATGTTACTTACCCATAGAACACTTCAGGGTTTTTAATAAAATGGGGAAAATGGATTATCCTAAAAACTCTGTATATGTATATAATAATTATTTATGTCAAATGTAATGTTATGTTTTCTTGAAGCTGTAAATCCTTCTCTTAAGCATGCTTCCTTTAAAGCATAGTTATCTAACACCTCCCAAAAAGCGCATGAAGGAAGGAACGGAGCCGCTGGATCTTCTCTATACTGGAACACTGCCAACAACAATGTAACAAAAATCCCCTCCCTTTACAACCAATGGCATACAAACACAGACGTTTTAGAGAAGCCAATGTTGTATGCTTGGAAAAGCTCTGCAAAGCTGTTAAGTAAACCCAGATTTTGCCACAAATGATGCTACCTATGGAACAGCATACAGTGGCTTGGTCATTATAGAATAACAACTCCCATATTTTCTCTTTAGAGAAACCTAGAATTCAGTACTCATTTATTTAAAGGGAAGCCAAAACTGCACAGAAAAAGTTTTATGTATCATTTAACCAATATCATCTACAAACAAAAACACATGCTTAGTGTATTCTTATTTACTAATATATGTCAAACTAAAGACATTTTGAAAGAATCCTCTTAAAACAAAGGAAATTATTATTCTTAGAAAGTTAAATTTCCCAGGCTGGCTGCAAACTGGAAAAGAAAAATATACATAAACAATTCAACATCTGTAAATATTCACAGGGCTCAGCTTTCTAAAGCACACAGATTACCCAAATTGTTAGCATACATTTTTTGCATAGATTTTTAAAGATGCTAACAATAAACATTTTATATCCTTTAAATCACCCAGCCAAGGGGTAGTTATGTATGTGTTTGCATGCTCACTGCTGATCTTAAGCCTACTTTGAGGACACTGCTGAGTGATTTTCTATGAGTTGAGAGCCAGCAAGTAATCATACATATGGCTACTGTCAGTCAAACTGAATTATCAATGACAAACACAAATCTGCACACACCTTTAATGGATTGCAGACTGATTTAAAAGAATAAATCAGCAGATGGCAGTCTTAACTTTCTAACCCTCATGATTACCAGGCCCTATTACTTTTAGTCTGACTCCCATACAACTATGTCAGCATGTTGTATTTGTTTTACAACTAGCCTCAATAAGGCTCATGGAATTTTAATAAAGTACTGATTTATGTCATTTTATCATTGTTGCATGCAATGAAATGTAGGCTTATCTGTCAACAATTTTGTCAATCATCTGACAGAATAATGGACCAGTTCTAAGCAATATATGACAATCTCAATAATCATAGTGTTCGCATACAGGATTCCTACAATCTTCTCCCTAATACAAGAGTCTCTCATTTAAAGGACTGATTTTTATCAGCTCGTATTCTGAATAAAACTAACAACCCCATTACTTCCTCCCCCATATAACTTGCTATATTTGACTCATTTAATTAACATGACATCTTTCACAAATGAAATCTTCAGTAAGCATCCATCGAGAAGGCAAAACTGTTAGTATATATCTAGGTTCCTTTTAATACAGGACATTCTCTTTATAAGTATCCCAAGGAGGAAGGTCATTATTCAACAAAAAAGGATTGAAAATGTCAAAGAAATAAGTACCATTCAATCCTCAGATTCCCTGTTAAATAGTATGTAGGTGTGCAGGGTTTAATACAGTTTAAAACAAGCATTCGCATGCACAGATCTGGATTCTAGACAATGCACAAGTCTTCCACAGGATACTTGCTATATACATCAAGAATTTAGAGAGGCTAGAGATTTGAGTATTTGAGCAAAATTAATTACACTCATTCTCAGAACAGGGTATTTGAGCCTAGTTTTCAGAACACTCTCTTATTCAGAAAACTTCCTTATAATGCCAAAAATGAACATCTTCCTGACCCTCTCTTTCACACATAAATATATCAGAGCAAGATTTTTCACTCAAAGTCTGTACATGATACTAATCATAGGTGTTTTTCTCCTGTCCATGAACATAAATCTTTGTTTGGCCTGACCTTTATTTCCAAGGAAGAGGTTCTAAGCCAAACAGTTCCACAGAGCTCAGAATGAGCTAGGGATTAATGAGACTGTGTGTGCAAACAAACAAGTACAGTAAATTACATAAATGCCCTGGACTTAGGCATATAGAGTGTATTTTCAAAGAATTGCAAGTGGCGCCCAAAGGAATTAAAAAATTAATCTCATTCCCAAAGGAAACCCTAAATTCTAATGTGAAAACATGTACATGAAAGCCATTCCCACTCCAAAGAGAACAAGTTCTTACAAAGCCGATGGGGTGAAGAGAATTCCGCATGGGGCTGCTGCCTCTAGGCCAACAGCACCATGCTCAGCCTAGAGGTGGTGGTAACGTTTCCTGCAAAAGAAAACCTCTCTTCTTTCACTCAGTGCCTCTGAACTATGGGGAGGAAAGGAACAAAAATGAGATTTGGAGCCAAAAGGATTTTTCTTTGTTAAACTTCAGATGACTCTGTGAAAAAGACCTATGAAAAAGACCTATGAATGGTCTCCGTGAAGGAGACAAAAACATTGGATATTTCTTTCAGTTGAAACAGTGGATAGATGGCAAACTTACCTCCAGGTGGCAGCCTGGCTTCTACTTCAGAGAAGAGGCGTATTTCTCCTCTCTCACTCTTTGAGAAAAAAAGCTCTCTATTTCTTAGCCATCACCACTGTATTCCACCTGCAGACATGTGCCTTAGTTTGTAAAGCACAGTGACCACAGACCCATAATAGGACAAACATGATTTGGATTCCAAGAAATAGAAATAGCGGGAAGAAGAAATGAAGACCTTGTTTGAAGACTACTATTACTAGTTACCAACAAAAATGTAAAAAGAGAAATGAACAATGGGAATACAAAAGGAGAAAAACAACTCTAGTCTGGGCAGGCTACACTTTGGTTTTCATAACAAATGAGTTAAAACCTGCTTCTGGTAAGATAAAAATCACTAACTTCTGCAGCTGAGATTTGCTTACTCACCCCGGTAGAGTCCAAAGAAGCCCTCATAACGCAAGACTTTCTTAAAACAGTCAAAGCTGTTTTTGTACATCAGCTCTCCCACCACAGAGCCAGTGCCACGCTGGTTTTGCATGCGGGTCTTCACCAGATCTATAGGATATACTGCAGTGGCTCCCACGGCTACAAATAAAAGAATTTTGAGACATAAAAGAGAGCACAATTAAATGGAGACTCTATGAGGACAACAAATCTCATCACAAAGGACTAGAAATTAAAACAATATCTTTTCTCACAAGAGACTTTGTTATTTTTCCTCCCGTACACAGCTGAACCACATGGGCTAGCAACCACTGAATCCATAAATACAGCTGCTTCAGGGAACAACTGCAGTGGGTTTTCAAGTCATCACCAACATTAAACAATCAACACTCAATTTTCTATAACATTAAACTATTATATGTAAGAATTTTTTAAAACAACATATTGCTTGATATTTCCCATTAAATGCTTAAATATACCAGTTACTCCTTAAAATGACTATCTATCTATCTATCTATCTATCTATCTATCTATCTATCTATATACACACACACACACACGTGACTATAATTTAAAATTTTAGTTTACTAAAGTATTTTGGTATATTTAGCTTAGTTACAACCATAATACTGAAACCAAATCTCAATACAATCTTACCCATACATACAGATTTTTTTTTTTTAAAACAGTGCCTGTGTCCAATGGTTGTGCTTATATGCATGCATTCAAGTGCTTTGGGGTGGGATGTGGGCATGTGACAAGGGGTAGGGAAAGCTGGGGAAGGTCAATGGGGGTTAAAAGAAGATATATGTACTACTATATGTAATACTTTAAACAATAAAATAAAATTAGTAAAAAATTAATTTAAAAAAAGGCCAGGCTTTAGATTTCTCAGGGTCTAAAAAATGTGTAACAGGAACTAGAACATTATATTTTTCAATTGTTGAAAAACAAAACATGCTTTGCAACTTCTAAAGCTGAGACTGAAAAGAAAAAATAATAGTCTCATCAGTTCAGGCTTGTTTTGAAAAATCATAAGTTTTTTAATCACACGTGATATGTTTTTATCATCAAAGCAATTTTAGATTCTACACTATTTCTATGCAGAGATTTAAGCAGAAAGAAAAAAAAACACACACACACACAAAAAGTATTAAATTTTGCCCAGGAGCAGGGAGGGGAGGTTCATTTTAGCAAATAAGCTACAAATCCAGATAGTCTTCAACTAGTAAAAGGGAAGAGGAAAAGAAATAAGTAGAGAAACAAAAGTGAATCATTTTGAGAGGTTGTTTTATTTCCTAAGGTTCTGGGATCTGTACCCCAAATCTTGATTTCCTACCTTCCCTCACTCCCAACACCAGAAACAACAGTCTTATTCTCCACTGCTTTCTGCGGGCTTTAACCAGTATAATAAGGTGAGTGCAGCACTGCATCCAAGACTTTCACATTATGACAGAAGTTTTGTCCTAAAGACCGACTGGAGCCAGAGGGGCTATGGCCATGCTATGACAAGTCCTCTGATCAGAGATAAAAATAAAAATAAAAAATGCTTCAGAAGGCTCTGCAGTCGTGACCCACGGGAACAATGAAGTGCACTTTTGCTGATCTGTCCCAGTCCAGTGAGATAATATTACATGATCACAAGCTTGAAATAGCACACAGACACATCACTCACCTCCAGCAACTGAGCCCAGAGTGAATCTGTAAGCAGACTCGGCAACCTGGAGCCAGACAGACCTGCCTAAACCATGAGATTGCTGTGGGGTAAAAGAAAACATGTAAAAAAAGAAAGAAAAAAAAAAAAAAGAAAAAGCAAACCAAAAAAGCCACAATAGCTATTTTAAGATTTGAAAATGTATATCTGTATTATTGGCATTGAAAAACCATACCCAGCCAAAGAGACACCATTACTTTTTTTCCTTTTATTTTTATTTTATTTATTTATTTTTTTTTACAAACCTATTAATACCTCATTTATCTGCTGCTATAGGGAAATACACTATCATTTTACTGAAGTGAATAAATATTTCAAGTATGACATCTTTCTCCCCTTCTTTAACATTAACCAAGTTAAAACTTTAAACCTTTCTAAAATGTACAAACACTATCTTGATTCGTAGATCAGAGACTATTGATCATAATCTACCATCTCTAATGACTGGAGGTCATCATATTCATATGTCCGTCACTTACTGCATTAAGATCTGACACAGCTATCTGTGCTATCTGCCTATGCCTGACAGCTATTACCTCTTCTACCAACAGCCTCCTAGTTTGATTTTGCCACCTCTCATCTGTTAGGGCTGGAGAAATCACATAATTAGGATTGTTAGGATTTTATGCAAAGCAATGTCAAGGACTTCTCTTTTGAGATAAAGTGAAAACCTTTAATAACTACTATTTCTAGAATCAGAGCCTTATTTCTGGCTTTGCAGCTCAACCACTGAGGCTACTTACTGCTAGATAAGTGTAGTATTTTTTTACCTCAGCTATTGAGCATTTGCTCTCCTAGACCTTTGTATTCCCCAACTGCATAAAGAAAATACCTAAGGAGCTTTAAAAAAATAAATCCCTGGGGTCCGGGATTTATTTATTTTTAAAAGGTTTCAAATAATTCTGCTATGTAGTCAGGTTGAGAACCACTGTCCTAGCCACATTTATGGTTCTAACATAAAATCTATGATGATAATAAAGCAAAAGGGGAAACCCTGTTGTGATTCAGAATGCTATTTCATTGATGTCCTCCAGCATAAAGAATTTTAAATAATTTGCCTATATTATTGTATCTGTCTTGTTCTTTAATGTTTTCATTATGAAAGACCAGGTATTGAACAGTCTGAAATGAAGCTATAAAACACTTGCTTTATTACAAAGAAAATGAAAAATATTAACTTGAAATGAGGTTTTTAAAACAGCATAATAAAAAAAAGTTTAGACACTTATTAGAATAATTTAATGGAGAAGGAATCCATGCCTAAAATCTAGAAGGAAAAAAGTAAACTAGTCTACTCTGATTTGCTTTCATCTGTGCAATCTCTGAATATGCTTCAGTTGATTTTTTTATATGTTGACCAAACACAGTAAGGTTAACCTATTATTTCTTGATGTTTTCTAAAAAATATATTTTATTGATTTCAGAAAGAAGGGAAAGCGAGAGATAAAAACATTAATGATGAGAGAGAATCATTGATAAGCTGCCTCCTGCGCACCCGCTCCCTGCTGGGAATCAAGCTCACAAACTAAGGCATGTGCACTGACTGGGAATTGAACTGTGACCTCCTGGTTCAAAAGTAAACACTCAACCACTGAACCATATGGGCCAGGCTAAGCAGTTATTTCTAATACTCTGTTTCAAAGACAAAATATAGTTGAAAACAAATGCAGTCTGTATCTTCAAGGTAAAGATGACGTTTAATATCATATTGCTTGAAGAAATTTAATAATATTTTAATATAAATTTTATAACATTTTAAAATCAATGTGGTTGTTATGCTACTTATTAAAAATATAGCATATGTTTTTAACTTCTAAAAAATGCACATAAAACTATTCCCCAAAATTTGAATTTCTCAATAACAAAACTGGGTGAAAATAAACCTCATTCTTACGTATTATGAATCATTTTCAATCATGTCTCCTCTCAACAGAATATGGTGAATTAAAACTCATAGAACAAAAGGGCTATAATCACAAATAAGAGACAAGTAACCACTAATTCCCTTTTTCATATAAAAGGTTTTACCTGTATTCAACTATAGAAGTTTTCTTTATACTCTCTTCCTTTAAAAAATGTTTATAAGCCCTACAAAATCCTATGAAAACTGAAGGATTATACTATGCTTTAATTCTTAGCTAAAAACAACTCTAACTATAAACGCCCAAATGCCTTTTGAAAGAAATGTTGCCTCCGCCCTTATTAAATAGCACTTAAAAATAAAAAAATAAAGCAAGCACTATATGGTTACTAAGCGTTCTTTTTTGGGCTCAGCTATCACTATAACTTATGGTTCACTTTTATTCAGGTATGTAAATTAATGTAATTAATGCTATGGATTTCACATCATGAATATTCATAAGTAGAATGCTACTGTAGCTGTCATCCCTATTAATGGCTGTGTACAGAATTTTTAGCATTTAGGCTGAAAGAAAATACTTAGCACTACGAAGATTGCCTACCGTGAGCAAATGGGCCAAAGGAAAAGGTGCTCTTTCCCTTAAGGTTATGATTATGATCTTGAAGGTGATGTCTAACAAGATTGTTTTTTTCAAAGCAAAATAAAAGTGGGATGCCCTAACCGGTTTGGCTTGGTGGATAGAGCATCAGCCTGCGACTCAAGGGTCCCAGGTTGGATTCCAGTCAAGGGCATGTACAATGGATGGAAGCAGCTGATCGATGTTTCTCATCGATTTTTCTAATTATCCCTCCCTCTCCCCTCCTCTCTGTAAAAAATCAATAAAATATATAAAAAATTAAAAAATACAAGTGGGACATCTTTTAAAAAAAGAGACAGCATCTTAAATGATCTTTAATCTGCTCCCTAAGTATATGCATATAATAAAAAGTGATAAAGATGTCATTTGGAGAAGAAAGAGTTCTTTTGCTTTTGTTGCTACATGTATTCTCATCCTATAAATGAGAATTGGATAAGAAAAGATCATGTCAGTTAACAAGTCAAGCAACCTGTCCTAACCAAGCTGCTTCATGTAGTTTGCTGGTCCAATAAAGACCTCTTCCACGTGGCACACCTCTTCCACGTGGCACACTATTAATGGATAGGAGGAAAGGAAGAAAAAGCTGAAGTCTTTTTTCCCCATTAATTAAAATTTTTTAAATTGTAACATAAAATTTCAGCCAACACATACAAAAAAATTTTAAGTAGAACAATTTAGTCAATAAGGAAGAAAACATAAAGATACAATTCTTTCTCACTTCCTATCCCCTTCCACCTAGGGAAATAAAGTAAATAAGGGTGGAGGAAGGGAGAGAGATAGAGTGTCGGTCTGCGGACTGAAAGGTCCCGGGTTCGATTCCGGTCAAGGGCATGTACGTTGGTTGAGGGCACATCCCTGGTAGGGGGTGTGTAAGAGGCAGCTGGTCGATGTTTCTCTCTCATCGACGTTTCTAGCTCTCTATCTCTCTCCCTTCCTCTCTGTAAAAAAAATCAATAAAAATATATTTAAAAAAAAGAAAGAAAGAAAGAAAAGTAAGAGCAGCAGAAAGGCTGAGAAAGGAGGAATAAGTTGGGATTTTTAAACACATTACACTGTCTTTAATAAGCTAAATGAAATATTCCATAATTATAAATATAAGAACACCCTCAGGGAAAGCTATGTTAATAGATATGTAACACTGAAAAATAGCTCCTTTTGCAATGCAATTTTTCAAACTTCAAGGAAAATTTTTATAAATGTACACTATAAAATTAAATTCAATAAGAGCTCTTTAATTTAAATATTTCAATATCTCAATTTTTAATAATTTTTGTTTAATTTCATTATAAATCAATGAATTGAAATAAATTCATCTATTTTTTTTTTAAAGAATCTGAAATCTTATAATAGAAATAAACTTCAACAGCAGCAGTTTTTGTTACTAAAAAAGCTAAATTGCAATGGGTTACAGAGATATTTCAATCTGCAGGAAGCTCTATTACACACCAAACAAACAAAGTATTAACATAAAATATAGATATAAAAGTATTACTTTCCATTTTCAATTTACTTAGCAGAATATAAAAGTTCTTGTTTATTATACAAAGTAGATCTGGAAATTCTAATTCATTTCAGAGGTAGAATCATTTCATGGAGCTCAAGTAGAAGTAAGATCTCCTACCAAAACTCCCCAGCATACCACACTTATAAGCCCTGATCTTTCACTTAGCACGCAAGCTGGTTCACCAGAGTGGCAGCACTAAAAACAGGTGGACTCGGGCTCTTTTTGTGGCATGCCCATTCAGCTTCTTTATTCCCTCCTTCCTTGACTTCTATCTTCTTTGCCCCTTTCCCCATGTCGTCCCTATGTTGCCTAACCTCATAGGGCATCACAATCTCCGACAGTATCAGGGACATAGGTCTCATGTCTGTGAGAGCAGGGAATACCAAGAGGACAAGCAATAGCCCTGTTAATCTCACTCCCCACACAAAGTCATGTGACCGTCACTACAACTGAGGCTTCCTCCAACTGCGACAGAAATGGGAGTTTCCATTTAAAACAATACTTATTTTAAAAATGTTCTATTTCATTCATCAAGGTAATATCATGAGGTTTATTTTCCTACTAAGATAGTATTTTTGAAATCAGAAATTGGGCTATCTTAACTTTATAGGACTCAGAGCTATTAATTTAATCATCCTTAATATTTTAAATAACTAATATTTTATCAAAAATTTAACAATCAAGGTTTTCTGTCTAATTCATTAATTAGTTTTCCTGTGCTACATATAAGGTATAATATCAGTGAAAAATTTATTAAAGGAATTTTTGTATTTTGAAAACCTTATAAATATCAATTTAATGATACAAAATAAATACTAATCTTTAAATGTCACTAGACATATTCAGACTGCTAATTCTATGGAGAAGAAAGGCAAGCCCGTATATGTTTGCACTCTTATTTTCCTTATGTTAATAAGCTAAAAGACAAGTCACAAACATAAATCAGTTACTCCATATAAATAGGAGAGGGTCACAGTTCTGTAAAGGTCATCTTTGAACTAAGTAAAATCTCTTTCTGGTAAATTGTTTTTAAATTTCACCATTCAGAAGCTCTGGGCTGTCATGTACATACAACTCCAGCACTTTTTAAGGTGATTCTATTTATGAGACACCTACCTGTCTCTGAAGTTCTGCCAGGTTGTAAGGTAAGGCCCCCTCAGCCAACGGAGCTATTCTCTCAATATCTGCCAAAGTCAAGCGCCTTCAGGCAAAAATGTGAAAAAGAAAGAACTATTAGACACCAACAAACTCCTCAAACTAAGATAATCTTCCTTAAAAAAAAAAAGGGGGGGGGGGACTATAACTTAAAAACAGTATTTCTTGCCCAGCCAGCATAGCTCAGTGGTTGAGTGTTGACCTATGAACCAGGAGATCACAGTTTGATTCCTGGTCGGGGCATATGCCCAGGCTCAATCCCAATGTGAGGCATGCAAGAGGTGTCCAATCAATGATTATCTCTCATTACTGATGTGTCTATCACTCCCTCATCCTTCCTCTCTGAAATCAATTTAAAAAAATAAAATTTTTTAATAGATCATAGTAAGAAAAAAAAGAACTTACTTGGCACAACATAAAGCAAAACATTGAAGATAAATACTGTGAAGTATACAAATTTAATAAGACTCAATGTAGATATTAAAAGTAAAGAAATAATTTCTGGCAGAAACAAAGTATAGGTTTGGTATGGCAGTTCATCCATACTACATGTATTCTCTTGGTATATATACTTAATACATAGGTATCTTGAGAAAGACAAACACAAAACTAATGGTTGCCTTAAGGAAAGGCAAAAGGCATAAGGGAGTCTTTTTTTTGGAATGCTCTTTTAAACTCTTTAAATTTTGAACCATGTGAATGCACTACTGATTCCAAAAAAAAATTTACTTAAAAATAAGTACACTAGAAAGTCACTTCACATACAGTTTTGAGAAGCACTTTTTAAAAGCATTTTTTATTATGTAGGAGACTCAAAACCTTTGCTAATAATGCGAATTCTAAATGAATGAGACATGGTCTGATATTTTATGTCAATCCCAAAGACTGGTTAATATATTTAGCATCATCGCTAGCTCAGCAATTCATTATGTAGCATGAAAGCAATGAGTTAGCCATGTACACTCAACTTATATTACTCCTCAGTTGTAGGATTAAAGGCCATTTTTCAGATGTTCCTACACTTAACTACAAGAGGCAACTAAGAAAAGATCTGATCACTTAATAGATAAGAGCCCTTTTCCACAGGTCCTGCTGGGTACCCATAGATAAGAGTTTTTCTTTTGGATTTGCATAAGACTGCAAATTAAATATTCTCTATATTCTATTTAGTCTATAAAAAAAAAAAAGACATAAAGCATCTGAGCTTATCTGTGATGGTAAATATGATAACAAAGTCAGAGGCATATTTAAGAAAACAATACTCTCCAATACAAAATGGTATACACTGTTTATCAAAATGGCCATTCATAATGAATCCAAATATTATAAGATTCCTAAACATGTATCTCAGTTTATTAATTCAGGAAAATTTACACAAGTCTCTTAAAATTCCTAACACCTCCAGAGAGTCAAGGTTAAACTAATTTTTTCCATTCCTCTCTTACTTCTCACTTCCATTCCCTTCTCTCTCATTTTTCTTCCTTCCCCTATTTCTCTTTGTCATGCCCATCAACAACCCCTTACTCCCTTCTCTTACCTCACTTTTTCCCATCTCTGTTCTCCCCTTTTTTTCTCTCTTCTCTTCCTCTCTTGTTCTCTCTCCCTTTCCCTCCTTCCATCTGCCCTTACCTTTAACTTGTCTTCCTCTGTCTCTCCCTCATTCCATTTCTAATTCCTCTTTCGTGGAATTTATATACTGAATAAACTATTGTTTAAATAAACAGAAAGCACAACACTGCTTCACATGTTAAAAGAACTGTCGTGTTAATAAATATCATGAAGAATTATAGGAATAGTTACCCTGTAGCATTATATAAGTCTGCAAGTTGGTATAGGATATCAATTTCTAGTGGGGTGACTTGTCCATACCGTATTGCATTCTGGGAAAACTCCTCTGGAAGAAAAAAAATATTTTCAAACCTTAAAAGATTCTTAAATACAACAAACTTCTACCTTAACCATTTATAATCTGTAACTAAAGGCATTTTAGTATTATTTTAAAAATTCCCAAATTCAACTATCTATACAAATAAAGCCTAGGTGGCGTCTCACCCTCACATCATCACAAGATGGCCGCCTCAAGGGGAGGGCAGTAGGGGGCGATCAGGTCTGCAAGGGAGGGCAGTTGAGGGTGATCAGGCGGCAGGGGAGCAGTTAGGGGTTGATCAGGCTAGCAGGAGAAGCAGTTAGGGGCAATCAGGCAGTAGTTAGGAGCCAGCATCCCCAGATTGTGAGATGAATGTCTGACTGCCTGTTTAGGACCAATCCTGAGGGGGTCCCAGATTGGAGAGGGTGTAGGCTGGGCTGAAGGACACACTCCCTCCTCCCCGCTCCCCCCAGTGCACAAAGTTCATTCACTAGGCCTCTAGTCCTATATAATAAAAGGCTAATATGCAAATTGACCAAACAGTGGAACAACCAAGCTGGGAGCGCAGCGGTGGTGGCAGGAGTCTCTCCTGCCTCTAGCAGCACTAAGGACGTACATCCCCTGAGGGCTCCTGGACTACGAAACCCCCACCTCCACCCCCACCCGCAAGTGCACGAATCTTGTGCACCAGGCCTTTAGTATAAGAATAACTACAAAATTCTGAAAGCTGGCAAAAGAAAATTAGATAATTATGAAACAGCAAAAACAAACAAAGATAAATTAACTTCAAAGATAAAACAATCTATTTAAAATCTTTTTATCTTGTTTATTCACCTTGGTCTTTAGAGTTACAAAATAAAAGAACTGGCTGTTCTCCAGTCACCTAAAACACCCTACTTCCACTCAGCAAAAGGCGTAGGCTTGCCCTTCTCTCTGAGGCAACTCCATCCTAGTACAAACAAGCTGCTGCCACAGTGCCAGTGACCTGTTTGACAACTGGGCCAAGGTTCTTTTCAAAACTGTCAAAGCCACTTTTCCGTTCCTGACCTCAGCATCCCATTAAATCCACCTGGATTTTTGGAGACCATTATGGCCCAACTGAAGCATACACCCATGGCACTTTCTAGATCTGACTTCAGAATGGTAACTTAGATCAACCTCATGCCCTAAATAAAAAAAGTGAAAATGCTGAGATTCAAATCAATATGTACATTTGAAGTCTTACCCTTTGTGACTTCCACATCTTTCCTTGTGCCAGCTAGAATGCTATATATCTTACGAACAAGCTCCATGTTATTCAGCAAGGAGTTAAATGCATTGAAGTAGGAGAAGCTAACTTGATGTGAGATACTTCCTCCAGCTGCCTAGAAAAATCACAACACAAAAAGTTAAAAAACAAAAACAAAAAAACATGTTTATGGACACCGTACTTTTCTCTAAAGAATATCCAAAGGAGTCTTCCTTTTTAAAATGATTATCAACCAGTCCATAAATACAAGGAAAGTATCGTACTAAAACTCTCAGGCCTTTCATGCCCTCGGGGAGGTCTATGTAATTTAGGTTTTAAGGAAGAAAGCAACATCTGGAAGTTGGACTTCATGGTTCGTCTACCTATAAGGTCAGAAACAACAAATATAATTATCGCAGATCAAAAACAATAGTTATTTAAACAGGATTTTCAAGACCCTAACTATGAAACTCCTGCTAGTTCTGGGTAATCCAAACATCAATACTACACTATAAAGGAGCATTTTTAAAACTTGATTTTTTTTTTTCCCACACACATACAGAAAAAACAGTAACTTAAAATTTTAAAACTGTATCAACTTTCCTAGTCTCTTTTTAAAGCCCACTGTTATAGTTAAGGTATTTAACAGTGTGTGCTGGGCTATAAATCTATATCATGAAAGATACAACTACCCAAAACTCCAAAAAATGCAGAGAAGATCTAGACAATATTTATTTGCCATAAATTAAATCTTTAATGGAAGAGCTTTAAAAAGGCTCTCATGCTGGGGAGGGATGGAGGCAATATGGCCTTCATTACCTCTGCAGGGTGAGGAGGCAATTTCTCCTTCTGCCCTTCTATTTGGCCATAAACTAAAAAATGAATATTTTTATAGTTTGCAAAGCCTAATTTCCAAGCCAGGAATCACAGGAACCCATATGATTGAAAACATTGTCTATTAAAAATTCAAATAAATACTTATGGAAATACCAGAGTGGCAACCTTACCATCCCTCATATTCATACATGCCTTAACCCAAATATAAATATTTGTATTCATCTGAATTTGGATACCAGTGATACAAAAGCAAATTATTTAACACATTAACTTAAATGGACAAGATTAAGTGGGTTCCTTCACTGTGGTTCTATATAAGATTTTCTCTCCTTCTCCCCTTCTTTCCTCCCTCTCACTTTTTTTCCTTCCTTCCTTTCATTTTTTGACCGGGGTTTGAGGTGAGGTTAAGGGAGTGGGAGATGGGTGTCAAGGAGGTGAAATGTGTAGGAGAAAGTGACATGCTCCATGTTCAAATTCACTGAAGAAAAAGAACAGAAGTTGATCTTTCTACCCCAGTCTAAATCAGGGATAATGATCTTCAGCTGAAACAACAAAAGCATTCATTGGCTTCCCTCCATTAAAAACAAGCAGCAATCAAAAACCTATACATAAGTATAACGCATGAACAAGACAACTGGGAAGTGAGTAGAGTTTCACCATTCCCTGTGAGGAAGTGGATGACATCAGTGTGCTATTGGCCCAGATGATTACTTTATGGAGATTAGCAGTTTTTATGGAACAAAAAACTGTCTGGTCCGTGCAGACTGACGCACAGGTGAAGAGGCAGAGAGGAGTGAGCCATAGAGGCTGACACCCACATATTTCTCCCATACATTCCGCCATGGCCATGGTTGTTAAAACAGAGCAGAGGCCAACTGATGATCCCTCTAGCAAACAGCACCCTGCAGGCAACAAAGGAAGAAGCCATCCTTATAGCAAGGCTTTGAGAGTCTGGGGGATGGAAAAAGGAGAGGTACTGCCCACTGGCAAAAGTAATTGCACATCCCTGTCTACGAGCTTCCTTGTATTCTGTAGTTGGACTAATTAAACGGAAATAAACAATTTGGAATATCTGAGAACAAGATGGTGGCTCTGCTATGATCTGGGAAAGACTATTCATCATCACCCCTACCTGTTTACCTCCTACCAACCAAATAAAATTAGAATAGTTGAGTCAGATGAGTCCAGGGAGGCAATCCAGAACCCAGTAATTCAAAAGGTTTAAGGAAATAGAAAGTTGAAGTATTTGCTTTTACTTACTGAAACTAAGTTCTCCTCCACAAAGGGAGTAAGCATGTGAGACCGAATGGTAACCATGATGTCACTGAAATCCAGACCAGAAATCGTGCCGCTTTTGCTTTTGTCTTTCAGTGCAAAGGCTTGTCTTGCATGTTCCAATTGTAGCTCCTGGAGCGAAAAGTTAGAAATAGGGCATTAGAGTGGTTTCAAGTACAACCCGAGTGTATGTTTTGGAATGGAAGCGCAGACATCCTTTTGCTACATGCGCTTACTACAGAAATGAACAATGTCCAGCTCTGAATTTATAGCACTTTTACTTTCTTTTGAAAAGCCAATTTTCCTGAAAATGTACTACATATTACTACTCAGGAAAAAGGGATCACAGCATGGCAATAAAGAAAACGGAAGGGGGGGAGGGGGATCTTCATTTATTTAAAAGGTTTTCATCACTAAAAACAAGTTGAGTATATTTCCATTTAAGCCTTTAAAATAAGTAATAATCTATTCTCTCCTGCTTGGAGGCATTGCTGTCATCCAACTATACTTTCTGAATTATAAGTTTAGATTCATTTTAAGTTTTTTAATTTCTAAATGTTGCAATCAAAGTCAGCCCCCCCCCCCAACTCAATAAATTAGAGACCATTTTTCAAACAATTAAAAAAAAAAAAACGATTTAGTGAGAAACTCTGGTAAGTACAGTTGACCATGGAACAATGTGGGTTTGAACTGCGTGGGTCCACTTATATGCAAATTTTTTCAATAAATATATTGTCCGTCCTTTGTATCCCCAGGTTTTACATTGGGGAATTCAACCAACCACAGATCTGTGTTTGGGAATCCATGGATGTGGAGGGCCAACTGTATGCATTGTTCTACACCATTTTATATAAGGGACTTGAGCATTCTTGGAATTTTATATTGGCAGGGGCCTTGGAACTAATCCTCTTTGATTACTAAGGAAAGACTGAAGTTTTGGGGAAGTAAAAAGCTGTATGTGGATCTTCAACTGCATGGAGATTGGTGCCCTTAGTTCCCCATTGGCCAGGGATCCATTGTAGTTCTAACATGAAAGTTATGAATAACAAAGCACATGACCTGTGTTCAGCTATCACTCCATCCAGCTTTAGGCATTTACTCATAAACTATAAAACAATCCAGAAGATCTATGAACTTTTGAACTATTTGAATAGCCAAATTTTGTGACAAGTGATATCCATAGAAACAATAAAATGTGGCAGCTATACCTTTAGTTCTATACAAAAATCAAAAACTCAACATTTCTGCCCTAAGGACCTGCTCTATAATCCAAATAAATCTGTTAAACACAACATAATAATGGTGCTGTTGAATGCCATCGTCATACAATTTACAACTATGGAAATAATATTCATATCTAAGTACTAAAATATTATTTTTACATAAAATTAAATATTGCCATTTTCATTTATTTATAAAAGCCTACAAATGTTGCCTTACCTTTTTCTGACATTTAAAATAGTCTTTGTTGAAATCACACCATTTTACTAATTTATTTAAATATTTTCATACGCACTTGCAGTATCTCAATAATTCAAAGTCATTAAAGTTACCTTAGCAGGTATTTGTCTTACACATTTGTTTTAGACATCTTTATGTATATGAATTTAACATTAAAACAAGTTTCAAAAATAGTTTTTCTTAGTCTGAAAGACTAGCAACAAGTATGTAAAACCTACTAAATCTTTCAATAGTCTTAACTTCAAAAAATTAAATAGCATTGAGAAAAAACATCCAAATATTTTAATATCTATTTTAATTTCTTAAAAATAGCAATAGAAGTGGGGAAACTAAAATTCAACTGGTAAACAAATATGAAAGAGAAACAGTATGATAATAAATAACTAGCATGATTTGACAAAGTTTTCTCTCTCCTCTACTTTTAAAAAAAAAAATTCCAACTTTATTAAGGTATAATTGACAAATAAAATTGTATTTAAACTGTACAATTTGGTGATTTCATATATATTTGCACAATGTGAAAGGATTCCCAAATTAACTAACACATCCATCACCTCATATATTTATTTTTTTAGGAGATCACAAGTTCTACTCTCATCAAATTTCAATTATGCAATTAGTATACAGGTGCTCCAAAAAATATATGCATACTTTAAATAATTATTAATTCCAATGGGTTAAATATGAAAAAAAAAAAGAAATATCAATTGAGCTGTCAAACAATGTATACATATACATTTTTGGGGACATCCTATATTATCAATCACTGTCATAATGTTACACACTAGATCTTCAGACCTATCCCTATCTTATACTTGAAAGTTTGCACCCTTTTCCATCCTCTCCTTATCTACCCTGCCACCTCTCCCCAAAGTCCCTGGCAACCACTTTTCTACTCTGTTTGTATTCAATTTTTTTTTTTAGATTCTACATATAAGTGATACCATGCAATATTTGTCTGTCTGTCCAGCTTATTTCGCTTAGCATAATGCCTCGAAGTTCATCCATGTTGTTGCAAATAACAGGATTTTCTTATTTTTCTAGTGTATAATATTCCTGTGTGTAAAAAATGCCCTTATCTATTCATCTATTGATACACACTTAAGTGTCTGTACTTTGACTGCAACCAACATCACATACTACAGATATCTGAGACAAGGATTTGTTTCTTTTGGATATTTACACAGAAGTGGAATTTTTGGATTATATGGTGGTTCTGTTTTTAATTTCTTGAGGAACCTCCATATTGTTTTCCATAGTGGCTCTACCAGTTTACATTCCCACCAACAGTGTACAAATATCACCTTTTCTCCACATCTTCCCAATACTTGGTTACTGGTATGGGATTTTGTTTTTTTTGTTTTGTTTTTAATAGTCTTCTTAATGTGTGAGGTGGTATCTCATTGTGATTTTGATTGTATTTTCCTGAGTATTAGTGATATTGAACAACTTTTCATGTACTTGTTGGTCATTTGTATGTCTTTGGAAAAATGTTGATTCAGGTCCCTTGCTCATTTTTTAACTGGGTTATCTGTTGTTTTTTGTTTGTTTGTTTGCTTTGCTGAGTTACATGAGCTTCTTGTATATTTTTTTATAGTAACCCCTTATCAGATATGTGGTTTGCAAATATTTTCTCCTATTATTGCTTTTTTGTTTTGTTGATGGCTTCCTTTGCTGTGAAGCTTTTCAGTTTACTGTAGTCTCACTTGTTTATTTTGAATTTGTTACCTCTGCTCTTGGTGTCAAACTCAAAACATCAATGCCAAGAGCTTACCCACTGTTTTTTTTGGGTTTTTTGTTTTGTTTGTTTGTTTTTAGGAATTTAGTTTAAGGTCTTTATGTTCAAGTTTTTAAGCTAATTTTTGTATATAGTGTAAGATAGTTCAATTTCATTCTTTCACACATGAATATCCATTCTTCCCAACAACTCTTATTGAAGAGACTATCCTTTCCTCCCTGTATAGTTCTAGCTCCTTTGTCAGAATTTTTTTTAATATATTTTATTGATATTTTACGGAGAGGAAGAGAGAGGGACAGAGAGTTAGAAACATGAGAGAGAATCATCGATCAGCTGCCTCTCACACACCCCCCACTGGGGATGTGCCTGCAACCAAGGTACATGCCCTTGACCAGAATCGAACCCGGGACCTTTCAGTCCCCAGGCCAACGCTCTATCCACTAAGCCAAACCAGTTTCAGCTCCTTTGTCAGAAATTGACAATACATACAGAGACTTATTTCTGGGCTCTCTATTCTGTTATATTGATTTATGTGTCCATTTTTATGACAATACCAAGTTGTTTTGAATACTATCACATTGTAATATAGTTTGAATTCAGGAAGTGTAATGCCTTAGTTTTGATCTTTCTCAAGATTGTTTTGGTTATATGGGGACTTCTGTGGCTCCATAAATGTTCTATTTCTGTGAAAAATGCCACTGTAATTTTGATAGGGATTGTGGTGAATCTAGAGATTGCTTTGGGTGGAATGAACATTTTAATAATATTGTTTCAATCCATGAACACAGTATATATTTCCATTTATCTGTCTTCTTCAATTTCTTCCATCAATGCCTTACAGTTTTCAATATACAGATCTTTCACTTGCATGGTAAAGTTTATTCCTACATATCTTATCCTTTGTCTCTTTATAAAATAAATTTTCTTAAATTTTCTTTCCAATGCTTTGATGTTAGTGTATAGAAATACAACTTTTATATATTGATTTTGTATCCTGCAACTTTCCTAAAGTCATGGATTAGTTTTAACACGTGTGTGTTGCAAAGTCTTTAGGATTTTCTATGTATAATATTATGTCACCTGCACACAAAAAAAATAGTAATAATCTTACTTTTTCCTTTCCAATTTGGATGCTTCATTTCTTTTTCTTGCCTAATTATTCTGGCTAGGATTTACAGTACTTTTTTAAATAAAGTGGCAAGAGTAGTCATCCTTGTCTTGTTTCTGATCTTAGAGTAAAACCTTTCAGCTTTTCATGTATGTCAGATGTGGGGCTGTTATATATGGTTTTTATTATGTTACAGTATGTTTTATTATGGTATTTATTATGTTACAGTATGTTTCCTCTATCCCCCAGTTTGTTGAGTTTTTACCATAAATGGATGTTGGATGTTGTCAAATGCTTTTCTGCATCTCTATCTATTGAGATGATTATATGATTTTTACCCTTCATTTTGTTAATGTGGTTTATCACATTTAATGATCTGCATATGTTGAACCATCTTTGTATCCCAGGAATAAATCCCACTTAATCATAGTGTATGATCCTTTTAATACTATTAAATCCAGATTGCTACTATTTTGTTGAAGATATCTGCATCTTTCTTCATCGGGAATATTAGGCTATAATATTCTTTTCTTGTAGTGTCCTTCTCTGACTTTGGTATCAGGGTAATACTGGTCTTGCAAAATGAATGTGGAAGAAGTGTACCCTCCTCTTCTATTTTTGAGAAAAGTTGAATAATTTGTACTAATTCTTCTTTAAATGGTAGTATTTGCCAGTGAAGCTACCTGATCCTAAAGTTAAAATAAAAAAATATTTTATCTTCATCCAAGGATATACTTTCTACTGATTTTAGAGAGAGAGAAAGGAGGAGGGAAAGAAAAACATCTATAGGTTCTGCCTGACCAGGAATTGTCCTGACCAGGAGTCAAACCAATGAGCCTTCGGTGCACAGGATGACACTCCAACCAACTGAGCCACATCAGATAAGGCTGATCTTTTTGAAAAGCCAGCTTATAGCTTTACTGATCTTTTCTGCTATCTTTCTGTCTCTACTAGCATTTCACTTATTTCTGCTTTAATCTTTGTTACTTCCTTCCTTCTCTGACTTTGGGCTCAGTTTGTTATCTTTTTCTAGTTCCTTGAAGTGTAAAGGTAGGTTGCTTTCATTTTTCTTAATGTGGGTGCTTATAACAATAAACTTCCCTCTTAGTATTGCTTTTACTGCATCCTATATGTTTTGGCATGTTCTTCTTTTTCCATATTCATCTGTCTCAAAATATTTTTCCTTTTCCTTTTGACTTCCTCTACCATTCATTTATTATCAGAAGTATGTTGTTTAATCGCCACATATTTGTGAATTTTCACTCCTTCTCACTCCATCTTCTTATCACCTTAGCTCCAACCACACATCACCTTTCAAATGAAGTAGGAATTTTCCGTCTCTATTTCATCCTTAAAATATGCTTGAAAGAAAGTGTTCCCCTTGGAAAGGATATTTCTGAGCAGCATCAGAAGCAAACACAGGTCCCATTCTCTATCTTATATATGTTTTCCCTTCCTGTTCATTCTTTTTTGTCTCCTTTATAGTCTTTTTTATGTTTCTGTTTTCTCCATGCATGTGTCTTATGCTTTCAGAAATATCCAGTGCCAACCTTGGACATGATTAAGGCTTATTAATGATACTCACTACTAAAGAAAATGTGAACCTTTATAGTAAAAATAAAGCAGAATCTTCATTGTAATAGATTTTCCATTTTTTATTAAATTAACAGTTGAATTTCATATATCTTTTAAAGATATATTTCTGAAGATCACAGATAAAATTATGGAGTGTATGGAACAGGCTTCCAAATGATCCAGTAGTGGGGCAGAGTGGGGAGTACAGGTTAAACAAGATTGGCCAACAGTTGATAATTGTTGAACTTGGTTGATGGGTAAATGGGGTTGATTATCCTACTCTATTTTGAAATATATTTGAAGTCTTTCAAAATAAAGTTTTAAAAATTGAAATTAAGAACTTCAAAATGGGAAGCAACACAAAGTAGGAAGAAGCCCCATATACAGCTCTCAGTTTATGTAGTATAACTAAAACATCAGGGTAAAATAGATATTATAAAATATCTTCAGTAAATGCAAAGGAACCAACAATGAGAAAAATATATAATATTTTCAACTTTTTAAGTTTAAACACTTTATAAGGTCAGTCAGATAGGGTAGAACAAGCACTGGGTTGTACAAATACCCACACCTAAAAGGTAAAAGTTTTCAAATAATACCCTGAATTTATTTAAGTATTCCATTAAATAAATGATAAGATAAAAATAAATTTGCTTCTGTATTGAAAGGTTAAATAGGGGAACTGAGGAAAATGATAAAGAAAGGGAATTTTGCTAAAGCTAAAGATCTTGTGCACTTGGAAATGCATTTCACATAGCTATGAAATTAAAGTAGCACAATTTCAGGAATATATAGACAATATACATGGTCTCCCAAAACTCCACACTTCACAAAATCACAATAAAAGAACAAAAAGCAAACAAACAAAAATTGAAGAATAAAGAGAATGGAAAAGAAGAAAACAGCAACTCTGTTTTTAAGATTAGAGCGAAGAAGGGTAAGTGACAAATGACTTGACAGGACCAAGAAAACTAGAAACAGAAAAAGCCAAAAAGAAATCCAAAGTACAGGACAGACCCCTCAGAGTCTCATAAATTGGCTGACTAGTACTCTTGGATGTGACAGTGAAGGTGAAGAAGAAAACAGGAGGCTTAGATGGAAGTCTGTTTAAAAAGCAGTTAATTGTCTGCCTTACTGCATCAGAGCTAAACCTCTGTCCTTTCCCAACCTTGGCAAAAAGACTAGAGGTCCACTGCCTGGAAAGTTTAACAGAGGATTCAGAATAGGAAAGACCAGGTTGAAAAGGGGTAAATAAATGAAAGTCCATCTTCCTACCAAATGTTGTCTTCGTAGCCAGAATGTTAAAATCCAGATCTAATAATCTAAATGGGAGGTCAGATTACTCTGTGATTACCCAATTCAAAGGAAAAGACCTAAACATGCAGACATTAGAGGTTCCCCAATACAACAGCCCAGCCAGAGGAAGACCCGGAGTTAACTAAGTCCTACCACGAACCAAAAGCTTCGTGTAAGATTCAATTTTAAATATGAGATAAGGATCAAGGAACATCAGACATATGAGAAAAGCCACTAACATAAAAAAAAACAAAAAAAAAAAAAAAAAAAACAGGCCAGACAAAGAGGAATTTAGAGGAAACACACCCGCAGGGAAAAGAAAAACTTAAAAACACAAACAAAAAACCTTATCTTCAATATCTTTGAAGATAAGAAATAAAACAATAGTATATCTACAAAAGAAGCATAGTATGCTGTTTTTAAAAGAAATATTCAAAAAACCAAAAAGAGTTCCTGAATGTCAGAAATATAATAAAAATTGAAAACTGAATAGAAGGTTCAGAAGGAAAATATGAAAGAAAACTAAAGGATCGTACACTTAATATATTTACTAATTTTAGAAAGGAAGAAAATAGGGGGGAATAAATAAGAAAGTAAGAATATTTTCTATAACTGAAGGACATAAATTTTCAAATTTAAAAAGCCCACTGAATGCTCAGCACAATGAGTAAAAATAAATTCACATCAAGGAAAATCACTGTGAAATTTCAAATCACTTTAGGAAGGGGAAAAAAATTTAAAACTTCCCAGAGTGGGGAAAAAAATATTTCAAAACAGAATCAAGAATAAGAATGGCACTGGACTTTTGAGTGGCAACACTGGAAGCCAGAAAACAAATGAGGAATGTTTTTAAAATTCAGAGAAAAATAAATTCCTATTTGAGCTCTACACCCAACCAATCTAAGTTCAATAATTGAGCAGAGGTTTTCATACGAAAAGTCTCATGAAAAATTACTTACTTTCCTCAGGAAGCCCTTGCAGGAAGTGCTCCACCAAAAAGGAGAAATAAACCATAATAAAAGGAGAGATGAAATCCAGCACATGGAGATTCAATATAACAGAAAGGCAAATGGATTCCCCAGTATGAAGCTGAAGGGAGATCACAGGCTGACAGCTATGCATGAAGAACAAAATCCAGCTTCCAACCATGAAGCAAAAAGTTAAACATAAAATTACCATATGACCCAGCAATTACACTCTTAGGGATATACACAAAAGATTTGAAAATAGGTATTTAAACAAAAATTTGTACACCAATATTCATAGCAGCACTATTCACAATAGACAGAAGGTGAAAACAACAGAGGGCTCATAGCTAATGAATGGATTAAAAAAATATGGTATATTCATACAATGGAATAATATTCAGACATAAAAAGAAAAGTATTAATACATGCTCTACAACATGGAAAATCCTTGGAAACATTTGTTAAATAGAAAAAAAGCCATATACAAAAAGTCATGTTTAAAAAAAAAGTAATGTTATGCAATTAATTCTGTTTACAGTTGACCCTTGAATAACATAGGGTTAGGGGTAGCAACTCCCCCTAGTCAAAAATTCCCAAAATTTAACTACAAATAGACTACAGTTGATGAGAAGCCTTACCAATAACATAACCAGTCAATTAACACATATTTTGTATGTTATGTGTTATATACTGTATTCTTATAATAAAGTAATCTAGAGAAAAAGAATATATCATTAAGAAAATCACAAGGAAGAGAATATGCATTTATTGTAGTATGTATTTACTGAAAAAAAGATTTGTGTATAAGTGGACCTATGCAGTTCAAACCCATGTTGTCCAAGGGTCAACTGTATATGAAATATTCAGAGTTGGTAAACCCATAGAGACAGAAAGTAGACTGATGGTTACTAGGGGCTGGGGAGAGACAAGAATGGGGAGTGACAGCTTAATGGGTACAGGGTATTCTTCTGGGGTGATGAAAAGGTTTTAGAACTAGAGGTGGTGGTTCTACAACACTGTGAATGCACTAAATGCCACTAAATTGTGCACTTTTACATGGTTAATTTTATGTTAAGTGAATTTTACCTCAATTTTTTAAAAAAGAAAGAAAGCTCCTGGAGTGCTCTAAGAAGATGAAATTGATAAAATACCTAATGTGTTTTAAACATATTAAAATGAGATTTTAATAACTGAGGCAAAGTTTGAGAATAAATTACATTAATAGCTAGAAAATGAAACAAATAAGAGAAACTAGAAATTCTAAGTAATCATTTTAGTGATGCATACTGTTTACAAAATTATAGTAATTCAAATATGATATTGATCTAAGTAGACTCATAAGATGGGGGAGAGGGAGACACAGAAAATTTCAAATCTGTATTAGAGAGGGAGAGATGAAAGAAGTAACTACTAATCTCTCATAGTTTAAATTCAATAAAAAATACCTATAAGTGAAAATTTTAAAAGTAGAAATGTCAGCACAAGTTTATTATTTAAAGCTATGGGAGTAAGTACTGAAAGAAACAATTATAAAAGTCTTTAAGAGTTTCTTCTGGGAGTAGGAAATGAAAAATGGAGATAAAATACCCCAGGGGATTGCAAGTTTTTATAGAAAACTTAGTAAAACTTAAAGGAAACGAGGTGGAGGAAGAATGATATATATTTACACCAGTTATGAAAACTCAGCTCACCTGGAGAAACTGTGTGAATTCTGTGTAGTTAAGATGCTTCTTCCGATTATGCCCAAAATGCAGTCGGATAAATTCACAATCCCAGTTAAAAGGGATATGATGATGAATAATAGTCTGTCCAAAAATTTCTTTGACATTTTCTTAAAAGGGAAAACAAAAATAAATAAATTATAACCAGAATAAGTAGTTTAGTCCACTGCAATGTTCCTACAGAAAGAAATTAAGAGAAGTTTTAAAAGTCAATATTATCTGATTCTATTAAGATTAGCTGCAGATTTTTTGTGCCCAGAAACCCATGCACAGGAACAGAATTAATACAAAATATAATTTTACACTTAAAATTGTGTACCATTACATATAAGGCCATCAGATTCTTAATTTCTCTTGATATAATTTTAATTAGGAAGTGATTTATATCTTGCACTATAAATGGCTGCTACTTTGCATTCCAGTATAAAATCAACTGTGTTTTCCCGGTTCCTCAAGGAGTCGAATTAAGCCCTTTATCAGAAGCATGAATACCTAAATTACAGTATAATGCAATATTTGTCATACTAAGTATGGTTTGATTGAGGCTTGATTATTACATTCACACTACCCTGAATATGTCTATTGAAGATAGGTATAAGAAATACTACCAAAAGCATATCATTAGCTCAGCAGCAAGCACCTTATTAAAAGCTTCTGATATTGTCAAAAATATGGTCTTGACACAAAGTTTCAAAATCCTCATAAAAACCATGATTATTAGTCTCAACTATTAAAATATTTTAAGATAAGTGAAATTAGTGATTCACTTTTACATAAAGAAGGACTAAACACAGTATACTAACTTTTAGATAAGAACCAGTCACACTATGTAATATACAACCAAAACCGTCTAATAGCTTGTCTTCATGCACTAACCATGTCATTCACTTTCTTACACAGTTCCACCCTTACAATAAAAGTCAGTTCACAAATGACTGATACTTTAATAAGCATAGACTGGAGAGACTAATTTAAAAGCTCATGCAAAAAAATCATTAAAAAGTTAAGAAAGCAGGAAGCCTTACTGACAAATAAAGAACAAAATTATTTTCAAATTTAAGCCAATTATATTAGTGAAAGGGTTTTGCCATCAAGAGCTATCAATTAATTATACTAAAGAATTAGTAAATGCAAGTTTAATATTTTATAATCTCCAACTATGCTATTTTCTCTAATTTCTTCAAATTCTTTAAATAAGATACAGATCTCAATGTTGTAAATGGTTTAATGGATTCCCTTTAGTTTTTATACCTCTTTTCCTTGATAAAAGCATTGCTGTGGTAGAGATGGGGAGGTATGCCATGTAAGCATCCTGAACTAGAAATCCTGCCAGTTTGGACTCAACATAGATAATAGCTCTGAATAGGTCAAACCAATCAATAACTTGGAAGAAGGCATTGGATGTCACTGGGGAGATGGGATTCTCATCTTTGCTGCAAATGAATGTAGCATTTATTTCTTGCTTAAGTAGCAACAGTATTAAAGAATTTTCAAATCATTTTTACTTTCCATAAACACAAATTAAATTTATGGGGTTTTGTTTCTAAAAACAAAAAAATAACTCAATAGCAATTCATGGGATTCTGACTTCTAACCAACACAAAGGATTACCCTTAAATTTACATAAAACTTCACATTATAAAATATGTTAAAGTTTACAAGATAATTAAAATAACAAGAGTTGCAATAAAATATTTAGAGCTAAAAATATTATGATAGATCAGAAAAAAATTTAGAATTCTCCAATTTATTTGGCAGTTTCTATTACCAAATTAATTATCCTTATTTTTAAGTCTAATAAGGTATGAAACTAAGGAAACATGAATAAATGGAAAACAACCCTAACTGGTATGGCTCAGCAGATGGAGTGTCCACCTGTGAACAGAAGGGTCCCAGAATCAAACGCCCAAATTGCGAGTTCCATCCCCAGTAAGGAGCTTGCAAGAGGCAGCCAATCAGTGATTCTCTCTCATCATTGATGTTTCTATCTCTCTTTACCCCTCTCCCTTCCTCTCTGAAATCAATATATATATTATAAGAAATGAAAAGCAGTACAGAATAAATTAAATAACTACTTATATTTGAGTAATATTATTTATTAAAGGTAATAAGTTATTTTATGATAATCTTTATTTTTAAGTTCACAAATCCCAAAACTCAACTATTTGATAAGAAATGTACATATTACTATCTAGATTTTATATAATGGTGGAATAAAACTGACTTCCCTTTATGTGATCAGAAGATAGCAGAATCTCAAGTATGAAATGATATCAATGTAAAAAATTCAGAAGCTTTCAAACTACAAAAAAATAATTATGAAAATTATTTTCTATCACAAAAAATTACAATGTATAAGACAAAATTATAATGTATAATCTACATTTAGAAAAATAGCTCTATAATAAAAACTTTAAAATCCTATTTTATAAACTTCCTAGCAACCTCTAATTAAGATATTAGAACATCTTCAAAATAATTAAAATGATGGTCTAAATTACTCTTAGTAATCTCCCAAATATTGAACTGTCGTTTTCCATAAGTATTTGTTTGAACTTCTCCTATTTCTCCTAAAGTGGACACTTGCCAGCTTTTATATGGTTTCCTTATAACCATTATAATGTGCTGTAGTTTATTAGCTACCCTTAGATGTTGTTAATTATTTAGGCCATGTCACAGTCTACAACTATAGTTACTAGGACGAACAAAGTTTCAAACCTACTTTGGCACCTCTTGAGGTATCCCACTTTCCTTCTGTTATTATTTACACCCCCAACTGTCTAAGGCTAAGTCAGGCCTTCTGAATACAGAAATAATTAGTACCACTATTCTTTTGCAGCCCTATACTTAATTACCACTTTACTTTTACCAGGATGTGCTTATCAGAAAAGTTAGACAAATCTCCAGAACTGGAGAATGTATACTAGTATAACTGATGTTCTTATCTTACCAGCTTTTGTCAGGTCCTGCATGACATGAAAAGGAACACCAATAATCTCAAGTGTACCCCGTACATCTAACTGACACTGCATAACAAGTTGCCCCCCAGAGAATCCCGTCTTTCCAGTGGCAAACAAGGGTCTTGAGCTCTAAATAGCACTTCTTGGAGGGCTAATTCAGTAGCCACAGTGCTGGCCTGGATGAAAGGAATACGACAGTCACATCTTATGGCAGCAAGATGATGATCTGGTGGGTTTTTTACTGCGTTGGTATTGCTAAGAGAAATAGGAATCCATTCATTTTCCGACATAGAGGAAACAATGGACCACCTTTTCACTTCCTGCAGAGCATGGGCTTGTGGAAAGAAATGGTTTCTAATTCCTTTGAAAAGGGAATTGGGGCCAGATACAAAAGTAGCCTGTCATTGTGTTCCCTTTGCTCAAAGGAGACTAGCACAATGATTTGTCAGGAGGCAGGTAATGATGATAACTGTGATTAAGTAAAAGTGTTCACAGACGTATAACATTAGTCAGTTTAGCTGAATCAGTCACTTATGATGATTGGACTAGGTGAAATATACATTGAAGCATATATATTATGTAAATATGTCTTAACAGAGGTCTTAATTTTCCCCACTGTGTCTCCCCATCTCATCCACCCTCATCCCTCCCCTGGTCCTTATGGGAGCTTCCTACTGGTCTTGTTCACCTTTCTGCAGTACAAAATTACCTCTGACCGGGGCTGGCACTCTTCTCCAAGACTGCCGCCATGCCTGCTCCATGAATGAGCCTGGAAGGAGCTGCTGTACCAACGGTGTGGCCAGAGAACTCCTCCTGTAGGTATACAAGCCATCAGCCCTGTGACACAGCCCACCTACCATCAGCCCAACGACATCCTGATTCCAAGGATTTCAGCCCAGCAGGAACCACTGCTTCCAACTTACAGGCTTTAGACCAAACATTTTTATTGTCAGGGGGGGAAAAGTCCTCAACAGCTGAGTTTCACCTGCACAGTTCTTACAGTGAAGTCAGAGAGGCCTTTGGGACTTCCACCATGAACAATGAATATCCTTGTGTGTCACTGAACAAAAACAATGGCAAGACTTGAGGAGGTAAAGAGTTTTTCAGTGAAGGAAAACTTGGGGGAAAGAAGAGAAACAACTAAGAGACCAAAAAAGAAAACAAACAACAACAAAATAAAGATCAACAACAGGAACTCGTAGAGGAAGTCCCAATCAATATAGCATGTAGACTCAGACTCAACCTTCTAGGTTCTACTCCCAGTAGTTGGATCATTAGTTTTTGGGTGACCTCCTCTTTCTCTGAGAAGTGTTTCTGTTAACACTTTACCTACCTCCAGGAGGGACTACTGTACAGTCAGTCAACAAAGTACTCATGCTGTCAAATATATGAAAAGGTCCATTTCTCAGGAAAAATTAACTTAAAAGGCATCTATTTCTATAGAAACTAGATGCTTTCATAGTCTATCACCAAATGGTATAAAAACTAATAACAGCATGTCTTTTTTTTTTTTTTTACCTCAAACTCTATAGCCATTCTAAAAGCCTTAAGTATTAATATGATCTCTGCAATAACTGAAACAAGCCTCAAAAATTGTTCCTGATTTAATTTGAACACCAGGTGAAATTCTAATTCTTAAGAATTAAGCTGGGTATTGATTAGCATTAGTATTTCATATTATTCCATGTCTACAGTTTGTTTCCTCTGAGAAGGTACAACATTTTTCATATGTAGCCCTCCATCTCCTGAGCCTTTCTATAACAGCAGTGTTTATGCCTAATTTATTCTTCCCTTTAGGGGGGAAGAGTCTATTTTAGAGACACAAACAGAACACATTTTTATTTGCTATACATATTGATGGTCAAAGACAATATAAAATCAAAAGGAATCTCTGCTTTTTGAGGATCCTACAGTCAGGGGGTAAAGATGTGCCGTTGGGAAAGTTCACTTCGGAGAGTTCCTATTCCTAGGCAAACACTTTGGAATGCAATGTTGAGATTTTAATAAAAAACTTAAAATGTATAACATATTTTATATTCATTTATTAGTTAATAGATGAAGAGTTTGGGTGGTCATTTATTTTTAATGATTATATCTTTGTTAAAGCAAAAGGCTTTTATTTTCTTAATTTGTGACAAAAATATATCAGCTATTGACAATACAATGTAGTGTAACTGGTTATTTAGGTTACCTCAAGCTAATTCTGTCAAGCAGAATATCCAGTACACTAGTGGATAACAGTAAGACCAAGGCAAATTTGTTCTGTATCTAGCACACACCAGTCATGCAATGGCCTCTACAAGGCTCATGCCACCAGGCAGTAACAGATATACAAGCCATTAAGTAATTATCCACAGCATGCACTAAAAGTTTTATTAAAGGAACATCAAAAAGGAAACAATTATCTAATGATTTTATTTCCTCTTGTAAAAACTCCAGAATCCTCTCCTGAGCTTGCATATTCTGAAATGAATTATCAAGGTCTCAACGTAAGTCCTCTCTTCCAGAGTAAAGGCATCTCTAACAATGGGGGGGGGGGGGGGGGGTTGCCCAAACTCAAGAAAATGTTATTCAATATTGCTACTTATGTAAATACTTGAAAGATGCACACAATATATAATTTGATGTGGAAAAATAAAACCAAAAGCATAGATGAGAACAATATATACAAGTACACAGATAACATCATCATTATAGTCTATGAGAGCTACTCATGGCATACCAGTCTTTCCCCACTCCATTACACCTTGCATCCAATATTCTCTCCCACCTTTCTCTCCAGATGTGCACAACACAAAACTATTCTTTAAATAAGCTTCAAACTAGAAAACACAAGGCCATTTGGTGAAAAGAATTTCAAGTTAGAATTTCGAGTTAGGATCTAAAATTTGCTTTTACTTAAGCTATATTTGTAAATACATAAGCATTATTCACTTTATTAAACAGATACAAACATGAAAACTGACCTTTATCATAGATCCAAACACTCTATAAAGATTATTTTCTTATGCTGAAATTATAGCCTCAAAATATAGCCTTAGAAATCTTGTTAAATGGCACTTCTAAGAGTTTCAATGTTCTTCCTCATTTCTTAAGAATATGAAATTAAACTTTCTCTTTTTCATTATGATTTTTTTCATTTTAGTTAAGAACATCATCTAAAAATGGATCCTTAAAACTAGGGAGGCAAGGCAGAAAAGAAATGGTCAAAGTACCCAGGAAATAGGCGAGCACTATCAAAAGAATCTTTCAGCTGGCCAGGGACCCCCGTTACAATGTTGAAAGGTGGGTCAGCTTTACCTTATTCCATAAGAATCTTCCGATCTCTAGATTATGGAGAAGAATGAAAGCAGGATTTTGGAGGGTCTATATGCTCTTCAATTCATCCTAGGTGCTATAAAAACTAAAACTGATTTGTTTTGCTTTTAATCCTAATTATATGTTCTTAAAATCATAAATCATAGTCTGAGGGCAAAAACAAAAGATCTATAAAATGCTAACGCTCTATAAAATAAAATTTTAAAGTGGTATAAACCAGATACTTCCTACACTCATTTTAACATACTAATCAACAATGGCATGAGTCTCTATTGTTAGTCTGTTGTATGTACTGACTTGAATGACTAATTTTTCAAAATAGAAATTGAGAAGATCAATCAAATGGAGGATACACAAAGAACCATGATATCGAGATAGGAGGTACAAGGTAAATCACAATTTGTTTTTGGGAAATATAAATCTTACACAATGGACATGTGATAGAAGCACAGATATAATGTCATTAATGCAGATATTTGTATCAAGGTATTTCCCAAGCATTTCTGCACATTTGGAAGTGAGACATATGAGCGTGTGTGATACCTACTGAAAATAGAAAATGCAGCATTATCAGTAGTACTGGGTTAATGCTGAAGGATAAGATACAAAGGTTTTATGCTTTAAACTACAGAATCTAGGTATTTTTGAGGAAAGCCAATATTCCTTAGGAGGCATTATGGCCAGAGATTGCTCCAAAGAAGGGAGAATTCCAAGATATGCACAGGAACCTAAAATGTTCTGCACAGGTTTTTTTTTTGGGAAAATTGTATTCAGAAGACAACTGGGCTAATGGGCAGAAGGAAACAATCAATGCCAAGCTAGAAAATGTGCCCACTGAGATCACAGCAAAGGCACCACTGGTCTTTCTGAACACCTGTATGTTCTCACCAGTCTTACCATGCAGTGATACTCCTTCCTTTGGGTTTAATTAAAAGTATCTGGTTTAGAACAAATTTTACAGTGAATGAAGATTTAGTCCTGTGGCTCAGGAAAAGCCCAACTATCAAGAGTTACTACTTACTGATGCCAATTCACACCATAAATGGGATCTAGCTCAGTTTTACAAGATGAAAAAGCTCTGGAGATCTATTTCACAACAATGTGAATATACTCAATAATGTGAACTATACACTTAAAAATGGTTAAGATGGAAAGTGTTACGTGTTGTGTTATCAAATTTAAGAATTCTAAATTAAAAAAAAAAAAAAAGGATGGAGCACTCAAAGTCCTTAAAAACACTACATTACTTTTATTTAAAAGCCTATTGCAGGAAAACCTAATTGATACTTTTCCTAAATAAAAAATAATTTCTGCAAACAAGTGTCATTAAAAATTAATACATAATGCCAAACAGAAATCCAAGTCCATAGTTTGTGAGGCATCAACAATATGCTAATTTTTTTGCCTATCAAAGAATCAACTCCCAACTCAAATGGCAATTTTAATACCTTAGTCTCGTTTCCTAAAACCAGAATTCTAAAAGAGGGTCCGGAGAAGGTTAACTATTCTTGCCTTAACCTCCTCCTTTAGTGCCATTCTTGGTATTAAAATGACTAGCAGCAATTTTCCAAAGACACTACAGAGAAGCTCTGCAGATATTTGTATCAGGTTTTTATTTGGGAAAATCGTATTCTGAAGACAACTGGGCTAATGGGCAGAAGAAAACAATGCTCTGCCCAGAAGTCCTTTAAAGATTGTTGTTGTTCAGTCTTGTTTCATAAAGACTTTTGCCCAGGCTGGCTCAGAACAAGAAAAATATACACCATCTATTTTAGGAGTGTGAAAGTGTCAATGACTCAATGAACTGAAGTAATGACATTCCTAGGTTCCTTATTTTTTTGCAATAGTCTAATGCTTATAAGAAAATAAAACAATTTACCTGCATAAATCCTTTTAAGAAAGTAATATTTTGATTATTGACTAGCTCCTAAATAATCAACAATCTATATGCAGTTGCTAGATTTAGAAATTAAGACTGGACCAGCCTCACCTACTTCATTTATCACTTACAATCTTTTTTTTTCCTTACCAAATGTCACCTCTCCATTTCCACTCTTGTCAAACAATTGGAAAGCCACTATGAACATGGAATCTGGAGCACATAAAACAGATTCAAATGCCAAAAACTCTTGATAGGAGATCAACCTAGAATAAAATATAAAATGTTACTGGCTGATACAAAAAGAAAAAAACATCAAGCATTTAAACTGCCTTTACTGTATGAACTATAACTCAGGGTAACCAAATAATAGATGAAAAAAAGCTTCTCTTCATAGAGGTATTCCAGATAATAAAAAAAAGAAGGAATGAATAAAATTAAAATATCAGCCTTTTGAAAAACTCTAACAAATTAATGGACGTAGGCAATAATCATTAGCCACTAACATCACAAAAAGAGAAAGAACTAGACCAAAAATAATTAAACTTGAATCTAAACAAGTCTATAGATCAGAGTTCCTCAACCTTGGCACTCAACAGTACCAGTCTAGGCTGCATAATGCTTGTTGTGGAGGCCTCCTGTGCACTGTATCTGGTTTGGCAGCATACCTGGCCTCTACCCACTAGATGCCAATAGCAGCCCCATGTTAAGAATCACTATTCTAGGTGTAATTAACAATTTATGAAAAATACAAAGGACAAAGGATCATGTGAACATTATCACGGGAACACAATCAGCAAAAGTGCAGACTGTAGGGAACTACAGAGTGAACATGACCTTTTAGAGAAACATGCTTCCCATTTTCCCAATTAAGGATATGCCTACATTTTACAATCCAATGTATGCCCCCATTCATCTAAAACACATTTTACATTCAACGTTACATTTTGTATTTCTTAAAACACTTTGAAATATGTTTAAATTACATAAATTATATTATATCCAAAGCAATTATATATACATGCCTTTCGCCCTTTATTGAGGGAAATGCTTTGTGGTGATGTTATTCAGGAATTATGCCCTCACTATCATGCTAAAGCATCCTTGGTGACATTAGGAGCTTGAGTGCCTAATAAGTCCTAGGAGGAATGACCTAATAATCAAAACTGTTTTATCAGGCCACATGTCATAAAACGCCTTATGCATTGGTGTACTAGTAAAACATATAATAAAACTCAAAAGTGTGGTTATCATTACACAAATTTTAGGGTAACAAAAACAAAGATATAACATATCAGGTAACACGAGCATCCACACACTCCTAAAAGCAATGAGTAATATGTGGTTTTAAGCTCTGAACAAAACTAAAGAGCAATGGTATGGTATGATATGGTTGGACAGTACAAGAATGTGTAACACAAAACCAGTAGTGATATAGGGGAGGAGTTAGAAAAGACTTTCATTTTTTACTTTATATTTTTCTGAAGTGTTTGCAATTTTTATAATGAAGAATTAGAATTATATCTTCTGATTGTAAGAGTAATTTTTAAAATGAAAATAAAAAATAACTAGGATGCCCTGACCAGTTTGGCTTAGAGCATTGGCCTGCAGATTGAAGGGTCCGGGTTCGATTCCAGTCAAGGGCATGTACCTTGGTAGAGGGTATGCAGGAGGCAGCTGATCGATGTTTTTCCCTCTCATTGATGTTTCTAACTCAGTATCTCTCTCCCTTCCTCTATGTAAAAAAATCAATAAAATATATATATTTTTTAAAGTTTAAAAAAAAAAGTAACTAGGCTGATTATCAATTTAAAAATTTATGTGTCATCTAGTTTTTTCTAAAATAAGTCTTAGTAATTAAATACTAAAAATACAATTACCATGAAATGCAAACTATGTAGCTTTAAAACACACTTCATGGTCAGTAGTAGAACTTACTATATTTATGAAAAGAGGGCCAAGAACTTTACTTAACAGTCAGCTGGCAGAGTGAACTTGGCTCATACATGTATTTTCTTTGGCATGCAAAGTATTATTTTTTTAGTTGCATTAGTTGCCAACATTTGGAAATCGTAAGATTTCATATAAATATCCACTTTTCTGGTTTCTCTTGATAAATTGCAAGCTTGGGCAATAGGTTACTGGTGCCAAATAGCACCAATCCATGAAATCAAGCAAAAACTGCCTCTTTCTGAGGGACCAGGGCTCAGCAGTTATCTACGTCCTGCCATGCAGATTTGAGACTAGTTGGTCAGGTTTCTAACTTTGTTTAAAATACAAAATCTATGAACTGTATTAAACCCCTACATTTTGTCTACCAGTATATTCATAAAGGCAAATCATATATTCATGCAATTTTAGAGCTAGAGGGACTCTTAAAAAGCCTAAAGAAGTCAAACAATCTGCTCTAAAACATTCAGCAACTCAGTAGGCCCAGTGGGATTCTCAACAGGAGTTGATTCAGTGTACACCTTTAATTCAGTGTACACCTCCCTAGAGCCAGTCCCCAAATTTAAAGTTACAGTTGAGAAACAGAAAGGTAAAATAGACCATTTCAAGTCTTGAAATACTTGTAAGTATTGAAGAAATACTCAACCAACATTTAATACTCAGAGTTACCTGTGTTATATAGAGTGATTTATTTGAAGAAAGAAAAGTCAATTAAGAAACACAAAAGCACAACAATCTATCCTATATAATAAAAGGCTAATATACAAACTGTCCCCTCCATGGGGAGTTCAACAAACAAAATAAAAACAGGCTCATTTATACAAAAAACAGACTGACAGCTGTCAGAGGGGAGGGGGTTTGGGGACTGGATAAAAAAGTGAAGAGATTAAAAAAAAGACTCAGGCATCAGTATGGTGATTGCCAGGGGGTAAGGAGGGTGAAGGAGAAGGGAGAGTGCAAATGAGGGGTTAAGTGGTGGTGGAAAGAGACTTGACTTTAGGTAGTGAGCATACAATGTGGTTTGCAGATGATGTGTTACTGAGTTATATGCTTGAAACCTGTGGTGTTATTAACCAATGTCATCCCAATAAATTTAGTTAAAAAAAAGATTTATGGGAGATTCTAAAATGGTAGCAGAGTAAGTGGATACATACTGACACATTCCCAGGATACCAACATTTCTACTTAAACAAATACAATAGTCTCCTAGATAGATATCACTGCATTCAAATCTTGTCCTACTCCAACTTACAATTTTTCTAAAATTGAATCATTTACTAGAGGCCCACATGAATTCATGCACAGGTGAGGTCCAGCCAGCCCACCCCAATTGGGGCTGATCAGGCCAGGCCAGCAGGGATAAGGGGATGCAGGAGGTTGACCAGCCCACCCCACCACCTGGTCCAACTCCCAGTCGAACTCCTGTTCAAGAGAACAATTTGCATATTAGCCTTTTATAATATAGGATGGTAATGGAAATAATGCTTAAAGAGTCCATATTGCCCAGTTCTTGATTTGTTAGGTTTTTGTTAGTTTTTTACACAAGCACCGCAACAGGGAAGAGAAAAACACCTGGGTCCCTGGAGGTCTGGGGATGTAACTTGGAACTCACAAAACAAGGCAAATTTTATTTATAATTCATACAAATATTCCACTTGCTCCATTTTACAGTCATATGTGATTTTAATATAAAAACAGTGGTTTTTTTCCCCCTTGAATTGAATAAACCGAGACGTTAAGTAAGATGCACCTTGTGATTTCTGTGACTGCACAATATACTGTCAGGCTAAAAATATATCCACGACTGAGAGTCATGAGCCTCTCGTTGACAGCATACAGTCAAAGCCTAGCACACAAAGCCAACCACAACTCTGCCAGTGGCAAAGCAGTACCACAACCACACCAAAGTACTTTAACACAATCTTCCCACTTTCACTCCCCAAAACACACACACACACAAATGCCCCTTGGTGCTTTAAGTCACTACTGCTCCCCCTTTCATGGAATTCCCCTTCCTACTTGTCCAACCACCAGCAAGCTCCTTTCATCTTGCCAGATTTCACCTCTTCTGTGATACCGTCGTGACATCCAAAACAGACTTAATTATGCTTTCTTAAGTGTCCTTTGTATCTTTTACATACTTCTACTATAGCATCTTATTCCCAAAGTATTACTTTTCTGTGTTGTTTACTCGTTCTTTATCTCACTAAGCCATGAAATCTTAAGACCAGAAATCCTATTTTATGTTCATATTTCTAAGGCCCAACAGAGCCTGAAAAATGGTGTTTGTTCAATGAATGTTTATCAAATAAATGAATAGACAGAGAAATGAATAAATAACACTCTCTAAATTCTTTCCTGATTTTTCTTTATAGCACATATAATCTCCTAACACCGTGGTCAGCAAGCTGCGGCTTGTGAGCCACATATGGCTCTTTGGCCCCTTGAGTGTAGCTCTTCAACAAAATACCACGGCCTGTGCGAGTCTATTTTGAAGAAGTGATGTTAGAAGAAGTTTAAGTTTAAAAAATTTGGTTTTCTTAACCTAACTGGTTTGGCTCAGTGGATAGAGCTTTGGCCTGAGAACTGAAGGGTCCTAGGTTCGATTTCGGTCAAGGGCATGTACCTCGGTTGAGGGCACATCCCCAGTAGAGAGTGTGCAAGAGGCAGCTGAATTGATGTTTCTCTCTCATCAATGTTTCTAACTCTCTATCCCTCCCCCTTCCTCTCTGTAAAAAATCAATAAAATATATATATATTTTAAATTTGGCTCTCAAAAGAAATTTCAATCATTGTACTGTTGATATTTGGCTCTGTTGACTAATGAGTTTGACTACCCTTGTCCTAACACATTCCAATTTACTTTTGACTTGGTTCATTTTTGTATGGTTTATTCACTGATGTAATTCTAGCTCGTAATACAGTGCCTAAAGCACAGTAGATAGTAGGTATTCAATATTTATTGCATGAATGAATGAATGAATTAATTAATTAATTAATTAATGGAACATAGTTATCTGAAAACCATTCTGCTCAGATTATATATAAAATATGACTTTTCACATGTAAGTTTTTTAAAAGAAAAAGAAATACCAGTATCCTTGATAATGGTAGTAAATAACAGTTTTTATGATCACCTTAGAAAAAAATATGATTTATTGATATTAAAATTTCCAACTGTCATAGGTAAACTTATGGTTTTCCATTTTTTAATCAGACACTACAGGGCAATAGCCTTCAAAAAATGCATAGAGCCCATGTGGCTCATTCAGTGTGGCTCAATGGTTGAACGTTGACCGATGTATGAACCAAGAGGTCAGAACCCCATCAAGGCACATGCCCCACTTGCAGGCTCGATCCCCAGGTAGGGGACCTGCAGGAGGCAGCTGATAGATGTTTTTCTCTCATTGATGTTTTTAATCTCTCTACCCTTCTACCTTCCTCTATCTCTAAAAATGTTTAAAAACATTTAAAAAATGCATAAAGGTCTTACCCATCCTTGGTTTGATCAGCTACTCCTGCCAAGAGCTGAACAATCTTCGGATTACTATCTGGATCATTATACAGTCCAAGATAGCGCTGGACAAAGTCCTCCGGGGTCATATAATGTTCTCCATCGACTTCAGTACTGGCATACTAAAAAGTAAATAATGTATACTTAAATATTAAAATTATTCAAAATCCTTTTATAGCAAACAAATATCTTATGAAAATGTAAATTAAAGACAAGTATCAAAATCAAAATATAGATAACGCAGACTTTTTCTCTAGATAGTGAAAAAACAAATACCAAGAGCATGACTTAAGAACATTGATAAAGTATTGATATATACACTGTCATTGATTATAACCTTTTACATCTCATGGTACACATAAACTAATTACTAAAATTCTGCTGCACGCCAAAAAAATATACTTTTTGCCAATCTGACAAAATAAAATAGGTATAATTTTGATTCATTCACACGGATTGGCTATTGTGTGGGCTGTTGTCATTTTTTTTTTTTTAATTTGACAATCTAAGGGGAAAGAGGTCAATGCTTTTGAGTAAATAGTCAGGTATTGCATGGTTCTGTTTGTCTATTTTCAGTTAATTCTCATCTCAGGATATTTTTTTCCCATTGAGTTTTAGAGAAAGTGGAAGGGGGGAAGGAGAGACGGAGAGAGAGAAACATTGATGCAAGGGAGACACACTGATTGGTTGCCTCTTGCATGCTCCCCAACCAAGGGTGGAGATCAAGCCTGTAGCCCAGGTAGGTGACCTTGACTGGAATCAATACAAGATCTTTCAGTCTGAGGGCTAATACTCCAACCACCCAGCCAAACTGGCGAGGGCAGGTATTGCATGTTTTAAAAATTCTTGTGGCACATCAATTGAAAATCACTGATCTAGAAAAATGAAGTTGCAGCTATCAATTTAGCTACTTCACTCCACTATCAAAGTAGTAATATCAGAAAGTTTCCCAGAATCAAAGAAACACATAATAAATTTTAAAAAACCAACAAAACACCAGGACTTGTCCCACCATCATAAAATTACAGAACATCAAAATAAAGATAAAAATCCTAAAAGTTTATAGAGGAAAAAGAAAAGAAAAAAGAACAGGTCACATATAAAGAATTATGAATCACAGACATTATTTTCCTCTCAACAGAAACACTGGAAGCTTGAAGACAACATAGTAAGGTCCTTAAAATTCTAAGAGAAATAATTTCCAACCTAGAATTCTAAACTTAGCCAAACTTTCAATCAATTGTAAAGGTAGATTGAAAGCACTTTGAGATAGCCACGTTCTCAACATTTTTTTCTTCCTTCATGTATCCTTTCTCAGAAAGCTATAGGATAATTTGCTCCATCAAAAATAGAACATGAACCAAATAAGAGGGAGGTGTGGGAATTAGGAAACAGATAATCCAACTCAGGAAAATGGCCCAGGGAAATCCCAGAACTGTGCTGCAGGCTCAAGAGTACCTAATCCTGGCTGGGGCAGGTAGAGGAGTCCAAGAAGGAAGCCACTAGGGAAAATGAAATGTCAGCTTATTCAGGGTATTTATTGGTTATCTCGAAAATAACACTGGGAGAAATTTAAACCTGCTCAAATGTCACCTTCTCAATAACACCCACGCTTATCAACCCTATTTAGTCTTACAACCCATGCCTGTATCTATATTTCCACTTCCCCAAATGTTGCTCTATTTTCCACTTGGTACCTATCACCTTCTAACATACTATATATTTTATTTTTTTATTAGGTTTATTGTCTAACTCCCAATTAGAATGTGTCACAAAGAAAAAAAATATTTGTCTAGTTTGTTCACAGATGTATCCCAAGCACCAAAAATAATGCTTGGCATGTAGTAGGCTCTGAGTGGATATCTATTAAAATAATGAGTAGGTACAAAGGCAATAGGTACAAAGATTAATAAGTAAGCCCTAGCCAGTTAGGCTCAGTGGATAGAGCATCAGTCTGTGGACTGAAGGGTCCCGGGTTCTATTCCTATCAAGGGCACATGCTGGGTTGCAGGTTCGATTCCCAGTGGGAGTGTGCAGGAGGCAGCCGATCAAAGAGTCTCTCATCATTGGTGTTTCTATCTCTCTCTCCCTCTTCCTTCCTCTCTCTGAAATCAATAAAAATATGTTTTTTAAAAAAGATTATTAAATAAGTTTAAAGTTAGGTAATTTTTTACTTTCTGAAAAAGTAAATAATGAAAAGTATTTTTGTTTTACAAAAATAGGAAATATCATAATACATGACTTAACTAAAACATTAATAGTAATAATGTAGATACCAAATATTAACTTAATGATGATTACAGCCCTAGCCAGTTGGTTCAGTGGACAGAGCGTCAGCCTGCAGAATGAAGGTTCTCGGGTTCAATTCCAGTCAAGGGCATGTATCCCAGTTGCAGGCCCAATTCCTGACTCCAGTCAGGATGTACATGGGGAAGGCAACCAATCAATGTGTCTCTCTCTCTGTCTCTCCCACTCCTTTCCACTCTCTCTAAGACTCAATGTAAAATCACCCTAGGGTAAGGATTAATAAAAATAAAATTATGATTACAAATATGCAATGAGGAATGGAAAAAAAAGAATGTGGGAGAATGTAGTATAAGGAATTCCTCAACTACTGTAATAATGACTAGGAATAGAAGTATCCTATATAATAAAAGCCTAATATGCAAATGGCGGAATGACCAGTAGAACAACCAGTGGCAGGACCAGTCACTATAATGTGCACTGACCATCAGGGGGCAGATGCTCAACACAGGAGCTGTCCCAGGCCAGCCAAAGTAGGTGCCAGCGGGGAGCGGGGAGGGCAATTTCCCCGCCAGTCACCCCACAGATAGGCCCTGATTATTGGCCAGGCCTAGGAACCCTACCTGTGCATGAATTTCATGCACTAGGCCTCTAGTAGAAATATAAAGGAAAATACCAAAATAAATAGCTAAAAGAATTACAGTAGTTGCTTCTGACAAAAAAGACAGGGATGAAAAGGACCAGAGCAAATAACTTTTGGTTAAGTATTTCAAATATCCTTATTTGTGATCTAACTTTCAACAAGGACAGCATTAAATAAAAAATGTTCCCTTTGCTGTATTCTGAACCACACCACAGAGGCAATCACAGCAAATTCTGTATCAACCTACCTAAGAAGTAACCCAAAGTGGACATATTTTTATTAGCTAGTGCTAACAATAGCACCTAGCAAATATCACCCCAAAATAAAATCATGTTCTCTCTACATGCTATTAAAAGTCATTTCTAAAAAGGTCCTAGGTTTAAATCCTGGCCCTACTACTAACTCACTGTGAGTCTTCAACAACTCCATTCTCCAGTCCTCCTAGGTACATCACACAACTATAAAATAAAGACTAAACAATTTTTTATGTTTTAAAACAATAGGTATGCAAACATAGAATTAAAAAATAAACTACATAATATTGCTACTAATAGTGAATGGATTCTACCAATTCCTATCAATTGCTTCCTCCTCTTCTTCTTTAATGTATGACATAATCTGATATGTTTACCAAGATCACAAAACTACAAGCATTTAGAACCAGCAGGAGTGGGGAAAGGCACAATGTCAGGGAAACTACTGCAGTGGAAAGAGGGAGCAACACAAGGAAGTCTAAAAGTAGAATTTAGAGAGACTGACAAGTCAACCACTAAGAATATGAGTGCCAAACCACAATATGAAAAATGAACTATGGGAACCAAAAAGGAGTGGTTCATTCTAAGGATTGATAGGATGGGGTTGGGAGGAGGAAAGAAAGGGCCTGTTCAGAACAGGCCTTAAAAATAAAATTTAATTTCAACTGCAAATGGACAGAAAGGATATTTTAGACTAAAATATAAAAACCAATGTGAACAAATATAGAAATAATTATTTTCCTCTTTGGGGAGAAGTTATCTGAAGAGAGAAATGGTAACAAAGAGGAGGTATACATATAAAGATATGTAGAAGATGAAAATGAAAAGACAGTTTGAGTCCAGATGGTGGAAAACTGAATACTAAACTGAATAACTGAATTTTATTCTGTGGGCCATAGAAATAGCACTAAAAAATTTAAGGAAGGAGAGGTATTGTCTGATCTTTGCTCTCCCATGTAGCAATGTGAAAGATAGATTGGAAAATAAATAAACTGACTAAGGGCAAGGAGACTATCACAAAGATCCAGGTGAAAGAAGCTGAGGCTTAACCAAGACAGTGGGAAGTACAAATTAATAAAACAAGGGAAGGGGGGGAATTCTACTGAAAGTAGAATCTACTATGCACAGTCAGCCAAGATGCTAAAACATTTCATTAGCAATGGGTGAATGTAGTCATTCACCCATTGCTAATGGATATGATTTTAATACTGTTACATTCATACCATTTAAAATTAAAATGGTATAAAAGGATATTATATGGTGAAAAGTCTTCCTCCCACCTCTGTCCCTAATCACTCAATTCCCCACTCCAGAGGCAGTCAATTTCTTATATATCCTTCCAGGTCTCTTTTACACTTGAGCAAGTAAATTACATATACTTGACATATATGTATATATTATATATCCATGTTTATATATACATTAGTACACATACACATGTAAATATGTGTATATGAATATTCTTATCCAGTTCTCTTTTTACACAAATAATAACTATTTACATTGTTCTGTACATCTTTTTTCAAGCTCAGTCCTTTTAAAAAGTGATTTAGCAATATATGTACATACACACAAATATACTTATACATCATGTATAAAGGGCTATAAAAATGCTCCCATTTGCCGAAACCGGTTTGGCTCAGTGAATAGAGCGTTGGCCTGTGGACTGAAGGGTCCCAGGTTCGGTTCCGGTCAAGGGCATGTGCCTTGGTTGCAGGCACATCCCCAGTGGTGGGGTGTGCAGGAGGCAGCTGATTGATGTTTCTCTTTCATCAATGTTTCTAACTCTCTCTTTTCCTCTCTGTAAAAAAAAAAAAAATCAATAAAATATATATTTTTTAAAATGCTTGCATCCTTTAACAAAGAATCCTGGGCATGACTCCATGAAAAAAATTTTAAAAAGGAAGAACTAAATTCAAAATAAGAAAATACAATAAATGGGTTATGGTCATCTTTGTTCTCTCTTTGTTCTCTCTCTTCA